TTTCTAGAGAAACACATAAATTTACACTTTTGCAAGTTAAGTGACATAGAATTTACCTTGCACCATTTAAACACATTACTAAGGTCCACCTCTAATTGTTTCCTGTCTCCTGGGGCACCAATGAACTTAAATAACTTAACGTCGTCTGCGTACATTAAGCAATTCGAATACTTCAAAATATTTGGAAGATCGTTGATGAATAAAATAAACAGAAGGGGACCTTGAGGTACACCGGACGTCACATGAATTACACGAGATGAACATTTCTTAAAGATAACCCTCTGTTTCCTGCCAATTAAATAAGAAGAAAGCCAGCGCAGCAGGATTGGAGGGAAACCAATTTTATCAAGTTTGTATATTAGAGTTGAATGAGATACTTTATCAAAAGCCTTACTGAAATCAGTGTAAATGACGTCAGTTTGATAATTACACTATGCGACATTCAAAATCGGGATGGGATGAAACCAACGGGAAATGTTATATCGGTCAAAAACAAGTTATACGCGGCCCGGCGTTTCGCTGGGTCACGTCTAGGAATCGAGATATATCGATTTGAAGTTAGTAACTATCATATAGGGGAAATTGTCACCTTTGGTGGTCTTTTTTTTGACATAACTCGAGAACCACTAGTACGATTTTGCTCAAACAAATTAAAAAAACTTGAAAATTACAATTCCTTTAATCTGTTCATATAAAGTTTTTCTATATAATCAACAGTTTTACCGGTAAAAATAAATGTATGAAGAAAAAAAAATATTTTTTGCCTAAAATATTAAATTTCATGATGTATGTCTCATTTTGTTCACAGGTTATGTGACTTTACGTGACACTTTTTTCCGTTTTTAATTCATAAAAAATCCAAAACGGAAAAAAGTGTCACGTAAAGTCACATAACCTATGAACAAAATCAGACATACATCATGAAATTTAATATTTTATTATTTTTTGGCCTTATAACAATTATTTTCAACAATTTTATAATGAGCTCGAGGCCGTCTTTTAAATGAAAATTTATTGTGGAAACGCTGCGCTTGATTGTGTTGGCATAACAAAAATGAAAATAGTGGAAATAAGCAAACGATAATTTACAAGGCGTACTTAGCACGGTGCATAGGCAACTGGCTGAGTCAGTGGGATCGTCGGTTCGAATCCTACTGAAAGAAGTCTGATGAGGAAATGTGGTGATTTCCGAAATAGCTATCACTTCTACCATTTTTTCAAATTATTGTTGCTTTTCCACAATAAATTTTCATTTAAAAAACGGCCTCGAGCTCATTATGAAATTGTTGAATATAATTTAATAATTTAGGCAAAAAATATTTTTTTTTCTTCATACATTTATTTTTACCGGCAAACCTGTTGATTATATAGAATAACGTTATATGAACAGACTAAAGGAATTGTAATTTTTAATTTTTAAGCTTTAAAACTGAAACGTCTAAACAAGCAAAGTAACCTATTGAAAAATATTCAATAAAAAATGATAATTAATTACCATAGAACAAACCTTGGGTGAGGTATCTGAATTTCTTTAGTTTTAAATCATATAAAAAAATATATATAAATAGAGGTGGTAACCTTCGTTCGTTATTTTTGTTTAAAAGCTATTCATTGCCTTGGAATGCAAAATAAAAGATTTATAAAAAGAATTAATAAAGAAAATGTTAAAAATCGGAGATTTGTGAAACAATTAATGAATTTCGGCGCAATTAAAGTTTCTGAGGCGTTGTTTACATTTACTTGAGAATAGGCAAAACCCAAATAGCAGTTTGTGGAACGCACCACCTTTGTTCCCTAAATCGCGATGTGATGAAACGAAAAGCTGACGCACTCCGCAACGTTGGAGAAATCTCTCTAAAGTAGGTTCGAAAAATAGCTTTATAAGGAAGGAACTGCTTTACACTGTCAAGAAAAAAAAATCCAAATCTCAACGTAGTTTTCAGCAAATTAAAATTTTTTTTAATTGAAAAGTTTGCAATTTATGTGAAACGAGGCACCATTTTTTTAATATTTGTATAAAGTCTGAAACTCGGATTTATATGGTCTTTTAGACAATGAGCTATAATTTTGTAAAAAATTAACAAACAAAAGAAAAACTTGTTCAAATGTCGCCACCCTATTAGGTTAGGTTAGGTTGAGGTGGCAGACCCGCAAAGGGGACTCACTTAGACATTTGATTGTCCATTGTGATACCACATTACATAGGAACGGTAACTGCGTAAAAATTACGAGAAGCGCTGGGTGCTCATAATGAAGTTCTTCAGACAGCTGATGTCCACTCCGGAGAGTCCCTCGGGAGTGTCGATGAAATGCGCACCGAGATGCTTAAACCGTAATCTAGCGAATGCCGGGCAGATGAGTAGGAAGTGCTGAGATGATTCCACCTCGTCTTCCAGGCAACTGCGGCAGTAGGGATCCGTGACGATATTGAGTCGCACCGCGTGGGTTCCCATTGGACAGTGTCCGGTCAGTACACCTGTGAAAATCGAGAGCTGACGCTTAGCCAGCTGCAGCAGTTCCCTTGACCGCCCGCGGTCCACAACCGGCCAGAAGGACCTTGCAACTCTGCAAGTCGGGGTTTTTTCCCAGCGCTCGCTGAGCCGACCATGAGCCCATCTGTCCAAAAGCAGGCCGCAGGTTGCCAACGGAACTCCAATTCCCTCCCTATCCGAGGTGATGGCCTCAAGGGTGCCTTGCCTGGCCAGTTCATCAGCCCTGCAATTTCCCGCGATATCACTGTGCCCCGGGACCCAAATCAGTTTGATCTGGAAGTACTCCGAGGCAGTTGAGAGAGAGGTCAGGCATTCCCCAACCAGTTTTGAGCACACCATTAGTGATCCCAGCGCCTTGATTGCCGCCTGGCTATCAGTATATATATTTACCTTCCTTTTTGACAGTACATTGGTGCGTAGCCAATCGGCTGCCTCCTTTATAGCGGCCACCTCTGCCTGAAAGACGCTGCAGAGATCCGGCAGTCTGAAAGTAAGATCTACTGAGAGTTCCTGACAGTAGACACCTCCTCCAACTCTCCCTTCCAGCTTCGATCCGTCCGTAAAGATGTTTATTGGACCTCTTCTCCAAAGACCACCCCTCTTCCATTCATTCCTAGAGGGGATGTGCGTGGAGAAGGATCCTTTAGGGGCCAGCCTCGGGTGACCCCGGTCCATTTCTTTCGGCACGAAGTCGAAGCTTTCGAGAATTGTCGAGTGTCCGTGCGCTGGATTGAAAGAGAACCCAGAGCTTTTGAGCCTAATGGCTGAGCGAACCGCCGCTACTTTGCCCGAAATATCGACAGGTGCGACATTGAGTATAGCGTTTAGCGCTAAGGTGGGAGAGGTTCGGAGCGCCCCGCTGATCCCAACGAGGGCTGCCCTTTGCACGCGCTCTAGCTTCCTAACATGAGTGGTCTTTTCCAGTGAACTCCACCAGACGATGACCCCATACAACATTATTGGCTTAATTATGGTTTCATATAGCCAATACATCACTTTTGGGGAGAGGCCCCATCTCTTCCCTATGGCATTCTTGCAGCAGTAGAGGGCCACCGATGCCTTCCTCACTCGTTCCTCAATATTAGGTTTCCATGACAGTTTTCCGTCCAGGATCACGCCCAAGAACTTGACCCTGTCAGAGAGAACAAGTGGAACACCCCCTATTGAGGGAAGCTGGGCATGAGGCTTTTTTGTACCTCCTGGTAAAAAGAACGAGCTCCGTCTTTCCAGGATTGACAGCAAGCCCGCAGCTAGCGGACCAATTTGTGACCCTGTTTAGGTACCCTTGCATGAGATCGTACAGAGTGTTCAAGAACTTTCCTCTGACGATGAGTGCCACGTCATCCGCGTAGGCAATAACCCGGCATCCTGTCCTCTCCAATTCCTCCAGGACGTCGTTTATCACGACTATCCAGAGGAAGGGTGAAAGGACGCCTCCCTGCGGGGTGCCTCTGCTTACTTTACGCTGCTCAGAGGCGTTGCCCCATTCCGCTGTGACAGTTCTGTCGTGCAGCAAGTGTGAGATGAGCCTTACTAAGTAGCTCTCGACTCCGAGCTTAGTAAGGGCTCTTATTATCGCCCCAGGAAGGACATTATTGAAAGCCCCCTCGATATCAAGGAAGGTACCCACTACAAAATCTTTGTTTTTAAGAGACTCCTCTATGGTTTTGACGATTGAGTGCAGGGCAGATTCCACGGATCTACCTTTCAGGTAGGCGTGTTGAGAGGGGCTAAAACGCTCTCGAGGAATCCTGTTTCTTATGTGCAGGTCAATCAGTCTCTCAAAAGTCTTCAATAAGAAAGATGAGAGACTGATTGGTCTGAAGTCCCTCGGGGATACATGAGAGTTCTTCCCTGCTTTGGGGATGAACGTGACCCTTACGCACCTCCAAGCCCCCGGGATGTATCCTCTTTCTAGGCAGCTCGCGTAGATAGGGGTGAGCCAGCGGCACGAGACCTCCACAGCCTTTTGCAGCTGCGCAGGAATGATGCCATCCGGTCCCGGGGACTTGAAGGGCTTGAAAGAGTCGATTGCCCAGAGCAGTCGGCGCCTCTCCAGTAATTCACCGGAGGAGGAGGTAGAGCATTCGCCCTTTCCAACAGCGATAGGTTCGCGCGGTGCAGGATTTTCTGGGAAATGAGTATCAAGGAGTAGCTTAAGCGATTCCTCTCCACTCATCGCCCAGTTGCCCTCTTCGTCCCTCAGGTATCCCAAGGGTACGGGATTCCTCGCAAGGATTCGCCTAAATCGAGATGATTCATTACAACCTTCTACGGCTTCGCAGAAGTTTCTCCATGACTCGCTCTTGGCCTTTCTTATCTCGGACTTATAGATGCCCAGTCCGATCTTATAGAGCTCCCAGTCGGAGTGTTGTCCACTCTTCCTGGCTTTATTGAACAGGCGTCTACTCGTCGCCCTGAGTTCTGAGAGTTCCACCGTCCACCATTTTGGTCGTACTTTGCCCCCCGGCCTACTCAGCGGGCAAGAGATTTCGATGGCACTCCTACAAGCTGATGTAAACTTTTCCACCATAACATCAATCGAGCCTTCGGTGCTTAAGCTCTCCTGGGGGGCCTCTGGGAGTAATTCCCGAAGTTTTTTACTATAGAGGTCCCAATTTGTTCTCCTAAGGTTCCTAAAGGGGATACTTTTGGGACGATCTTCGTCCAGAAAAAACTGAATATACCTATGGTCCGAAAAGGAGTGATCATTAAGAACCCTCCAGTCAGAAACGCGGGATATTACAGAAGACGAGGCTAGGGTGAGGTCAAGGACCTCTTGCCTTGCCGCGGTGATAAAGGTCGGTTCGTTTCCTCTATTACAGATACATAAGTCTACACTTAGAATATAATCAAAAAGTGACTCACCTCTTGCATTTATGTCTGAGCTTCCCCAGCACGAATGTCGTGAATTTGCATCCGACCCAATAATTACGTCGGCTTTCCGTCGCCTCGCTTCGGCTATGGCTTCACGCAGCAGTAATGGAGGTGGTTCCACCTCGTCATCATGAGCCATGTAAGCGGATATGATCCAGAGCTTTCCGGCACCGCTATCCAGGCTGACAGTCACAATGTCCTCGTTGCTGAAATTAGGTAGAATTAGTGCTTTGAGTTCGTTTCTGATGAGCATGCAGGATCTTGGTCTACCTGCTTGATTCTGCACCATCAGCTTGAAATTAGGCGTCCTGATCCCGGAGATACCGCTACTGCTTAGCCACGGCTCCTGGATCAGGACTACATCGGCTCCACCTTGCTCAAGGTGGATAAGGAGATTTGCGGACGCCGCCTTAGAATGTTGGAGGTTTATTTGCAGGATCTTCATCCTCCAAAGTCCGCTCCAGCCACGCCAGTTCGACGTCCTCGTTTACTGAGGCTAAGAGCCTCTCTTCCTCCGCCCTGTCGTAGAACCGTCCGATGCTGACGACGGATCCCTCCGTTGAGAGGGCATCCTCAGCACTTTCCGCCCCCGACACGACGGATTCCACCTCCATGCTCATGGGGGCTTCCTCCGCCGCGGGCTCACGTGCTTCCGGCACCTCAGGAGGTTGAGAGCCATCACCCCTGGAATCGGATTGGTAGACCCTAAGGACTACCCTTTCGAATCCATAGTTGATGACTCCCCTGGACTCAGCGAGAGGGCCGAGGGATTCCGCATTGAGTAGAATCAGCGCTTGCCGATGCGACTCCTCGGAATCCTCGGACCCCTCGAATCTGACAACCCTCCAGTTGTGCGTGGGCAGTTGCGGGTTGCAGTAACGGAGGATTTCCTCAATCTCCTCCGGTGCGGAGGGCTCGGGGGGGGAGCCAGACACGGGCCCGCGGGCGGGCAGGAAGATCCTTTTCCTCCACGGCTTCCAGCTTGGCGCCCTCCCAAACCTCCCCCACCAGAGACACTGCAGACTTGTATAACGATGCCGACCGCTCGTCGGCGCATACAATTCTTTTGTGGATGCCATGATGCCACCCACCATCCTCACAGCGCGGAGGTGGACCAGGGTTTCCTCTGACCACCCTTAGAAAGACAGAGGAGATGGCCGCTGCCACGCGCCTCCAGTTTTCCCTGGATATGGTGCCATCTTCTCTGCCTCGATCGAGGACCCCCAGGGTAGTTGATCCCGCCTGCTTAGCGATTTCGCTGAACAGAGCAGGCGCAACCCCATTTCTGGGTCTTTTAGCGTGGGAGCCTTCTCCCTCTTGAGACCTTTGTCTTTTAGGACCCGTAGGAGGCGCACTCGCGTCTCCTTTCGTCGGGTTCTTAGCCTTCTCATCCCGGCCACACAGCACCCCTTTGGCCCACTCGAGCATTTTCAGATGTTTCTCAGTAAGCTGAGAAGCATCCTGACCGCCATAGCGCTCCAAAATCTTGGTAGCCATGCGCCAGTCGGAGTAGGCCTTTCGGCCCGACGATATTTGCCGTTTAGGCATTCCCGAAGGCTTCTTGTAGGGAGCCTTCGAGGACAGACCCGGAAGACTGGGAGAGGAGCCCGCGCTGGTGCTGGCGATTCCGTCTAGCACCCCCCTTAATCGCTCTCTCAGTCCGGCCCCTTGCCTAGAGACCCCCACGGAGTCCGGTTCCGGCACTCCTGCCCTCCCAGTGGCGACAGCACCTGCCCCCCCAGAAGCGTTTAAGTGCGTCGGCTTCGACGCGTTCTTACCCCCCGAGCGACCATCCGTTAAGGATCCCCCAGAGATGGAAATTGTAGACCGAGGCGGTTTCGCCTCGCGTACCGAAGGTGGTGCTGTAGCCCCCCCAGATGAGCCGGCTTTGGGGGTCGGCTCCGACTCCCCGCCACCGCTCGAATGCTTATGTTTCGTAATTTTGTTTTTTTTGTTTTCGTTATTTTCATTGTTTTTCATTTCTGTTGGGTCCCCACTCAGAGCCGCTATCCAAAACCCGAGCGTGTAGTCGCCTTTAAATGGTCCCATAGCTACCTCTGAACAAGACTATGGCGAGGGTTGACCCATGCCCTTATGGGGTCATGAGTTCAGAGCCGACCAGCGCAAAGACGGGAGTCATCTCAACCGCACCTACACCACCAACTAAACGGCGACGGGAATTGGAACGTACCCTGAGGCCTGCCAGGGTTTTAACGGGACGGGGGCAGTTGCGGCATTAGCCCACCAGCCATTTCTGCTGAGTGTCACCCCAGCCTACTCAGGTGGTAGAATACCGCAACCACCAGCTCAGGGATCGACAAATCCAAAACGTTTCCAGAATCGTAGTCAGAGGACGAAGCCAGGGTCGTTACCGTTCAGGTTAAGAGGCCGTGGAGGCCGCAGGCCATTTGGCGTTACCCAGGGTGCACCACGCGGAGGCGACCTGCTCTACACCCCACCTGCTCTACTCGCCACCCTATTAATACTTATTATATTTTCTATTTCGTAGTACAAAAAAGACCAAAATAAAAATAAATAATAAACTATCCAAAAACTGAGATCTACCACATTTTTTTGAAATCTACCACATTGTTTTCCAGATTCTACCACACAGAATTCTTTGAAGTCCGATAACTGCTTGTGAGCCACCCCTAAATAATGCTGAGCGCTCTCTGAGCACATGTGTGTTTCACATACAAAGAGCGCCAGCTGAGCAATGCACACAGTCCCACTTATTGAATCGTTTGAGTGCGCTAGTATGCCGACTATTTCATAAAAACGATTCAATGAATGAGACTGTGTGCGTGGAAATCATTGCTCCGCTACCGCTGTTCTGTGGCAACGTTCCTACTGTGCGGTCGCTTAAACATTCATTTGAAAGAATTTCTTAGGTTATTTTGTTTATCTTAGTGCTAAGCAGTTCTAATTTGTGTAATTTATACTGGAAAAAGCTCTTTGAAGCCAAGCTCCAAGAAATTGCTGTGTTTTAGACATAAAGTGCATGGATTAAAAATTAATATTCTTGTCATTCCTTGTGCATATTTGCCTCTTTTGGTGCATTATTGTTGTTTTGCGTGAGAGTGGATTCTCCCATCTTCCGCGATTTATTATACATTTAGCTTATCATCGATTAAATAATTTTCCTGCAAACATCTGGTTTTGGCTTGCTTTTATGCGTTTAACCTTTTTGGCTCAGTGGCTTTAAAACTGTTAAATTCAGCACGGTCTAACCATTGAAATTACAATACCTAGACTTCTGTGTCTCTCAAACGCTCATCTTTGCTACTATGGTACTAAAAGCGTACACTGTGAGTTTTTCTTGTACATACAAATTGTTACTACTTCGCGCTGCAATGTATTCATCCTGCTGTTTTGAAAAATGTAACATTAAAAACGACTTAGAGCGTTGCGTTGCGGGTTGGTGGTGTGATGACTTAGCTCACGTAAAATGTGCTGGTCTCAATGGTAGGGTGGCCGATATCATAACCGATAACAAAGGTGTTCGTTGGTCTTGCCCGAAGTGCAGAGCAACAGAAGGTGATCTTTGTAAAATGCTTAGGAGCGCCAACAGTAGCTTTCAGGAGTTGGGCAAGGAGTTAAAGCTTCTAAATGAAAAGTTTAAGCGATATGAAGATGCATTCAAAAACTTTAAGTGCATTGAATCTTCATCCTCTCCATCAACCAAGTTTCAAAAAAGCGGAAGCATGGAGGAGACAGCATTGTTTCTAATCCCATTGCTTTAGACATTGACACTCAGCCAATTGATTAAATAATAAATAAGGAATAAATATGTTTTAATTCTCCGTATGTTGAGTTATCCCAAGCTGCATATTCCTCAGGTGTCACTACAAGGGCTGCAGCTAAAACGACAGCTCTGTCTGAACCTACATCTCAAAGTGGACCTTCTCCGTTACCCAAAGAATTAATCGTGGTTCCTGCGAATAAATCTGTGTTTGTTTCGCGTTTTTCTAGTGAAATTTCGGTAGAAGATGTTAAGTCTTATATAACATCAAAGCTTAACCCCCCGGCACATAGCTATTAGAAAATTTAATTTTTCATACGAAAGAAGCATATCTTCCTTCAAAATTGATATTTGCGCCAACCATTTTCAAAACATTGAAAATGATGGTTCATTCTGGCCCAATGGTTCTTTAGTTCGAGAGTTTGAGTTTAAACCAGGGATGTTGCGAATGTCGAATTTTAGACATCCGCGGATGCGAATGCGGATGCGGATGTTCAAACGCTAACATCCGCGGATGCAGATGCGAATGCGGATGTCAAGTATTTTGATTCCCGATCGCACTTGTATGCAAGGGTATTATAACTTTGTTCACATAACGGCTTTTTGTAACAGGCAAAACTTATCGAGATAGATATAGACAAATGTATACATAAATGATCAGAATGAAAAGAGAAATCGATTAAGAGGTGACAGTCTGTCCGTCCGTCCGTCTGTGCACACGATAACTCGAGTACAAATTGATATATCTTAACAAAACTTGGTATGTGCACTTATTTTGAGCGTAGGACGGATGGCGCTGAAAATGGGCAAAATTGGACGATAACCACGCCTACCTCCCATATAACGATAGTTTTCAGAAAGACGAAAACTGCGATATTTTAGTAACTACTGAAGCTTACTCACTCAAAATTATATGTACAATAATTTTTAAACGAAAAAAATAACAGTATAAATTTTTGGAAAATGAGCGTAGGCACGCTCACTTATGATTACATGTGTATATCTTGGGAACCGCTCCACCAATTTCTCCCAAACTTGGCACAGTTGTTGGCCTTCACAAAACATACCAAACGGCTGAAAATTAAAAAAATCGGATAATAA